GACCGTGATGAATCGTCAGTAGTCGCCTTTTCACTCAGGGGTGGACATTAACTTCAAAACCAACCGGCCAGCCGGGCCGGTAACTCTGAATATTTACCGGCCCCGCTGGTCAGCTGCCAAAACGAGTCAAAAAAACAACTGAACCGTTTTAAATGTAATAAACCTTTATTTTGTACACATTCACAAACATAATAACGTATTCAAGTTTGAATTTGTTTGTTCCCTCAACAAAACTCGATTTTGTTGTCGCATACTTCCGGCATACAATGCAGTACATCACCAACTCCGCTTTGCTGTACTTGAGTCATTGGCTGTGTTCGAGATGAGCCAGTTCTGCGCAGATTAGACCAGCGGGGATCGGCGAGCAGTGCATGCCGGTTAGATTTGTGTCCGACTTGACGCTGATTTGCTCTGACGTCATGCATGTGTAGGCAACAATAACCTCGTGAGATTGTGGCAAGGTGGATAAACGAGGGCCCTGGCGGGATTCGATCCCCAGACTCCCGGGTGAGAGTCATACGCACTAACCAGTCAGCCAAAGGGACATCCCCTTGGCCAAGTAGCCAAGGCGCATGATCAATCGGGACACTGACAGGACACTCACACAGTCACATCTTCCCCCCTCTTTCCACAAGCACGTCCTCGTGCTCCCGCGCAGGGTGCCACAAACTTCACATCCATGGACCTAGTTGACAGTACTACATGGATCCTGCCAACAACGCCAAATGTGGCAAGGTGGATAAACGAGGGCCCGGGCGGGATTCGATCCCCAGACTCCCGGGTGAGAGTCATACGCACTAACCAGTCAGCCAAAGGGACATCCCCTTGGCCAAGTAGCCAAGGCGCATGATCAATCAGGACACTGATAGGACACTCACACAGTCACAAGATCAAGGCGGCCGCAGATTTTGGAGCAAGGCGCTGCAGTTGCTCTCCCTCGGCTGCAAAACCTAGGGGATGACGGGAAACGCCTGGCTCTCACCTGATCTAAGATCTGATTGGTTCATATTTTGATCCAAACATCCGGTGGTAGAACATGAAATGTTAGTTGGTCACATGTATTCTGTAAATCATGTTACGTTGATGATGACAACTATACAGGCCATAAAGAGAAATGTGTTTTGTGTTCTTTTGTCATGTTTCCTGTGATCACACTGAAGCTACAGCTGATAACCTTTACTTATTATTACAGTCATGTTTTCATATACAATATATGATATCCACAAGCACGTGAGGATGTGTTTCAGCTGCTAACAGGCACCAGAATTAAAATAGAAAATTGAACAAGTGTGAACGCTAACGCGATATCGTCACCCCCGAGCTACACATGCAGGGAAATCTGTCCAACTTAAACGCCGGCTTTCAGCCACTCCCCCTGCTGCTTCCGTCTGCTCTCGTCTGTTTTCCAGGCGAGGCGCTGCTCAACTCGAACACGGCCATTCTCTGCGCCTCCCGTCGTCTTTGACCCTCCAAGAATCATTCCACCTACGCACACGCTTCTCTGCTTCATACCGTTTCGAACTGTCTTGCTTCTCCTCACCAGTTTTAAAGCGTTTTGCCGGAGATTTCATTAAGAAATCCCATCCCTGTGGTGGAGCCATCTTCCTGTGTGCTTTTGTGTTTCTAGCGTGGTTCCACTTCGTCTTTAATAGTGAACTTATAGTTCACGTGACTATAACTAGAATCGTGCAGTATGTGCACGAGTCGTAAAAGTGCAGTACGTGGCTAGAGGCGCACAGTTTCACGCGCGCGAAACGAAAACGGCGGCTTCCTACAGGGCGTGGCCATGATGCAGGTGAAAGCCGGTGTGTAAATGACAAACAAGGCTTGGGCGCCACCCGGGCAGTAAGTCGTCAATTATTTACCACCCGACGAGAAAATTTAGCGCCATTGGCGCTCGGGCGCTTTAAAGGTCCACCCCTGTCACTGTAGCGTTTTCAACAGGGATGTTGGTGACACCGAGTTAAACCACAAATGAAGACCCTGGAGTTTAGTTGCAGCTTGTTTAATTGTCTCATGAACATGTGGTGAAAACTGAAATGACAGAAAATAGACTCCATCTCAACAGATTTACATCCAAAAAGTGCATTATTCTCACTGAAACATTCATGTTAGCAAAATATACACTAATATCCAAAGCTATTCGTATAAACTGTCATATAAAGCAACTTACGGCGTTCCAGCCTGATAATTCAGAGAAGATGGCAACTGATTACATCTCCACGCTGCCTTCTGCATGAGGCGCCTGTTTCTCAGCAAAAACAGTGTTTGACCGGAACCGGAAGTGAGCCGCCAGAACAGGAAATACATTTTAGTGATATTTTCCTTTTAACTAAAATGCATATAAAGCATGAATTATTCATTTTAACAAGACATATCAATGTTTTAATGACAAATCATTTTAGAATGATTTATTTCAAACTTATGAACCTATTTATTCAGAGAAATGCCTTAAGGGCAACACACTACTATTTACCATGGTAAGAACCCAAGGGCCCACGGAGGAAAAAAACCTCCTTAAAGAGGCGGGGAGGAATCACATCAGTAGGAGAACCTGAGGGTTTTAAGGGTTCCACGATCTCCCACAGGCAATCCAGAGTCAGTGGTTCAAATTGACAAAAAGTTGAAGGGCAGCATCCTGCAGCAACCTGGAGAGAACATGCCAGTATCTGAGCTCTAATGCTCACTATTTTATCGATAAAAAATGTCAAAAATGATTCACACAGCCCCTGAGAGATCCCAATTTCTGCAAGTTGGTCGACATTGAGGACGTTATCTAAAACATTTAAAAGAACACGTGGCTTACTGCAGGCAGACTGAATGATATCTGAGAAATATTTCCTTCTTTCCTCCATCACCATAGCCTGATAGCAATGAAGAGCATTTCTTAACATCTGGAAATAAATCATTAGCCTGTCCTTTTTCCATTTCCTCTCAACCATTCGACATTTTCTTCTTGCATTGCGCGTGGACTCATTTATTCACGGCTCACGTTTAGCCCTTGGTTTCCTGAGCTGCAACGGGGCCACTGAGTCCATAATGGTGCTGCAGCAATCATGGAACTGTGAGCTAAGTTCATTTACATTATCAGAAAAGGATTCTAGGTTGTTACAAATCAAATCAAATTCGCCACAAAAACGGGGAGCAGTTAATGGGTTAACAATCCTAACCTGCCTGAAAGGAGCAGGTGATTTTAGATTGTTGTCAGAGAGGGCTATGCTAAAAAGTACAGGCATATGATCTGAGAAAACAGCGTCACAAATCTCAATGTCAGAAACCGACAGCCCAGATGTTAAAACAAGATCAAGAACATGTCCCTGCTCCTGAGTCGGTCCAAAAACATGTTGCACCAAATTGCAAGAGTCCACAATTCTCAAAAATTCATTCACCTTGGGTTTATCAGGACAACACATGTGAATGTTGAAATCTCCCAAAATGAGCAGCTTATCAAAAGCAGGCAACACTTCGACTAAAAGTCGTGCAAACTCAGTCAAAAAATCTTTGTTGTATCGCGGGGGACGATAGATTACCATACACAGCACAGGATCATGCCTACCAAGTTCAAAGAGATGACATTCAAAAATGGAAAAACATCGAGGTAGGCGGAATCGCTGATATTTAAAAGAGTCTTTAAACACTGTAGCAGTCCCCCCTCCACGTCCTGAGACACATGAAAATTTAAAAAGGCAGCACCCAGGAGGCAACAATTCAGAAAAGATGCTAGACTCACTTTCCGGCGTTGTCCATACCTCCATGAAACAGAAAATCCAGACTATTTGATGAGAGGAAATCCTTGATAATAACTGTCTTGTTTGATAGAGATCTCACGTTCACCAAACCAAACTTTACAGCAGCTGTCTTCTCCAAGTTGTCAGATGTCCTCGAAGCTCGAAGACCATACCGCAGATTGTTAAAATTAAAACCAGGTTGCCGATAACGCGACGAATAAGGACCGCACAGCCGATCCAAACAATCCGAGTCCACAACGGGCACTAGCCAGGTGTCAGGGGGATTTGCCAGCCGCCGATAATCAAGGGAGCTGGGACCGGGAAAACTGCCCGACAGCTTCATTTTCGCCAGCTTTCCTCCTCTCTTCCCCCTGCGGCGTTGCCTCCTCCTCCAGGGCGGCGGCGCAGGAACACGGCACAGGTACGGAGGAACTGAAGCCAGAAAAGGGGGCAAAACCTTCTGTCCATCTTTATAAGATCCAGATATGGTTTTTGCAGAAATCTTGAGATCCAGGAGCTGTTGACGCTCATATATCAGCAGAGAGTTTGCATCGAAAATAAAAACAGATAAAAACAATAAAATCAAAAAGAGCTCTAACACAAAACGGCAGGCCAGGCACACTGGTGCCATTTTGGGACAATCATTTTCTGTCTTTCCGGCATCTGTCCACTGCTTATAACTCTACAACAGCATCCCTAAAAACTCTGGTACAGGCACATTCCTAAGCCTGCTTAGAATAGCAAAATGCTATTGTAGGAGAATGGAGTCTCCACAGAGCCGCCTTGTAATTTATGACTTCTTGACAACAGTCCCAGCTGTCTCTCCACAGCCTTTAAGGTGGGATTTCTTCTTAGGGGCTCCAAATGAATAAAGATGGCACGTTCTTTTTAAGCTGCAGTTATTACAACATTGTATGTTATTATTTTATATACAGATTATTTGTTTAAAGCAGACGCCACAGGTATCTAACACCTCTGAATTGCAGTGAGTTATGTACTACAACCAACATGTGCCTGTTGTCTGTTTATTAAATACAGGAGGGTATAACAGTTTTTTCTTAATCTTGAAGTAAACATTTTTTTTATTCAGAATTCATGAAAGAACATCTCAAATGTTTGGTTAAGGTCTGAGTTTAAAAAACAAAGGAGATTTGAAAAAGAAAATCAAAGAAGAGGTGGCTCAAGGGCAGAGTACGGACTTGATCAACAACAGTTGAGCAGAGGTACAAGACTAATATTAAGGTTGTAAAAAAACTAAATAGTACTTTTGGAAGTACAGTTGTTAAATAAATCCCTCGAGTCTTGTGTGGCTGCTTGTATGTCTCTTTAAATTTGTCTTTAGGCTAAATCTTTGTCCACAGAGCTCACAGGCAAAAGGCTTCTCTCCTGTGTGGACGCTCATGTGTCTGTTTAAACTTGCCTTTTGGGTACATCTGTATTCACAGAGCTCACAGGCAAAAGGCTTCTCTCCTGTGTGGACTCTCATGTGATAGTTTAAACTTGCCTTTTGGGTACATCTGTATTCACAGAGCTCACAGGCAAAAGGCTTATCTCCTGTGTGGACTTTCATGTGTGTGTTTAAATTATGTTTATGGCTAAATCTTTGTCCACAGAGCTCACAGGCAAAAGGTTTCTCTCCTGTGTGGACTTTCATGTGTGTGTTTAAACTATGTTTATGGCTACATCTTTGTCCACAGAGCTCACAGGTAAAAGGCTTATCACCTGTGTGAACTCTCATGTGGTCGTTTAAATGATCTTTACGGCTAAATCTTTGTCCACAGAGCTCACAGGCAAAAGGCTTCTCTCCTGTGTGGACTTTCATGTGTATGTTTAAACTATGTTTACGGCTAAATATTTGTCCACAGAGGTCACACTCAAAAGGCTTCTCTTCTGTGTGGACTTTCATGTGTAAGTTACACCTATTTTTATGGCTAAATCTTTGGCCCCTGAGGTCACAGGCAAAAGGCTTCTGCCCGGTGTGGCCTTTCATATGATGGGTAAAACTGGACTTTAGGCTAAATCTTTTGCCACAGTCATCACAGCTAAATGATTTTGGTTCTTTCTGGACTTTTCTGCATGAGCCTCCATGTTGTTTCTCTTTCACACATTTTGTATTAACTGAACACGCTGGATGGCTTGTCACTCTCACATGTTTCTGAAGAGACCACTTGTGGAGGAACCTTATACCACACACAGGGCAGCTAAACAATTTGTTAACTGTCTTAATATCTGACTCCGAAGACTTGTTCTCATTACAGCCATGGTCTCCGTTTCCAGTTTCAGGCCCAGAGTCTGAACGCTCAGAGTCTAGATTCAAATCATCTTCATCTTCTCCACCAACTTCAATCTCTGAAGAATCGGATGTCTTTTCATTAGGGTCCAGATCTTGGTTCTTGATAGTTTCTGCTCCTCCACCAACTTTTGCAGTCATCTGCCCAGCCAAGCTGCTGGTTGGGACACCTCCATCTTTCATTGGATGGTTGTGGAAACGTAAGAGCAGAGGTTTCTCATCCGTCGCCTCTCTCTTCCTTGAATCTGCAGGGAACCAAGCAGAAATATATAAAATAAAAATATTCAGTAAAAAGAGAAGACAAAATACCTAGGGGTGTTTTTGCAATCAGTAATATACAAAACCAATGTTGGTAAACACATTACTATTTATGGTAATGCATTACTTTTACAAATAACTATGGATCTAATGAGTTGCTTTTAAGCCCAGACATCACTATGCGATTAATTCTGATTAACGCCTCTCAGAGCCGGTCAAACCAGCCGTCCGTCGCTGCTACTGTGGAGCCTAGAGATACCCTGACAGCAGCATTGTGTCGGCCCCTCCCTTCCTTTCCCCAACACTGAAGGCGCACAGCAGCAAAAATGTAAACAAACATATCTGCCGAACCTTTACTCCATTAGAGTGTTGTAAAGTTTGTATCCTACAACGAAATCACGGCGCGGAGGAAGCTCATTAAAATGCGTCAAAACAGTAAATGTTAGGGATGTCCCGATCAGGTTTTTTTGCCCTCGAGTCAGAGTCATTTGATTTTGAGAATCTGCCGACACCGAGTCCCGATCTGATACTTTCGATACGTAAAAAAAAGGGAAGAAACTGTTCCAGAATGTTCCTTATTTTTTATTTAATTACCTTTTTATTTTAATTTTTAACAACAGATCACTTCTGTGAGGTAGCTTGAACAATCAAGTAATAAATAACATAAATTCTTCACTTTTGGACTTTATTGCAAATATAAAAAGTGTAATATAAAAACAGACAGCACTTCAACTTAAAATACCTGGCAGGGGTCTATTTTGCCTCGGCCCCCAAAATGCTTAGATACGTCCCTGGTCATGGGACGGAGTTTTGAAGATGATCTGAATTGTATCAACTATAAAAATACTACATGCTGATAAATTACTGCTTTATACAGGTACAAACCTGTAGTGGGAAAAATCTACCTAGGCTATATTTTACTTATTTAAGAACTTTGTTTAGTTTTCTTGGTTTTGATCAAAAAAAGACAGAACTTACCAGAGAGAAAATGAACGGACACGAATGAATGTGTGATAATTATATATTTTTTGTGACGCCACTTAGAAACTTAGAAAATGTTACTGTGGCCGTGTGCAGAACGCAGCTGGAGTTCATGAATGATCAGCGGTCTGCCTGTTGCTCTCTGCATCTCTGCTCAAAAGAGTCCCCGCTACGCTGAGTCCATATAAATAATACAATATAGGTGGAAACTGGATCTTTTTTGGGCTCCTTCTGGGTGTGTAAGATAAGGGGATCAGGGGAGCCTGACAACCTTTAAGGAGAACCAAGTTGCTCTCCTGTAATTTGAACTCAGTATCCGAGTCCGGATCGGGAAATAAAGCCAGAGTCTTAACAACACTCTTTAAATTTGCATCCATGAAAGATCCTGTGAACCGTTCTTTGTCTCACCCTTCACCTCAGACCAATTTGTCATGGGAGACCCTACCAGGGGCACAAAGTGCCCCAGACAACATAGCTCCTAGGATCACTAGAGGCCTTTTCAGACAGACATTCTGGAACATTTGCGGACAATTCAATCCGGTTTTTAGCCGGAACTGTGTTTTCAGACACACCACTTTTGTACCGGAACTTGTCCTTTCGGCTGCGTTCACACAGCAGGGCGGGGGGTAGGGTGGGGTGGGAATCGGACTTATGTTAAGAAGAAGAAGAAAATATCATTTCTATAGCACCTCTCAAGATAAAAATCACGAGGTGCTTAAGCATAATTCTGCGCACACGAAGACGCATAAGAGACCTGGATGATGAAGCTCAATGGTTAAAGGAATCACTGAAGCGGTGTGAAGCGCTCCGTCGCGCGTCTAGATGGTACCGTAGGAGGCGAGCTGCCGTGGTTCGCCGCATGCTACAGCAGCGGGCTATCTAGGTGCGCACAGCGTCCCCCGGTCTCCTCCTCCCCCTTGTCCGGAACTTTACCTCACCAGTCTGAAGCAGCCACCCTGTCCGTAACAATTCCGGACCTGTTACTAGGGGCTTCGTCCGGATAAATTCCGGAACACGTTATCCGGATGTTTGTATTCAGACAGAAAGGTCTTACGGACAGATTCCGGAACATTTCCGTTTTTCATGGCCTGTCTGAAGGGGGCTTAGAACACTCAAACTCCTCCACCACGATAAGGTGACGGTTCGAGGAGGATTTACATTTGTAGTAAACCTTTCTCCACAGTCATCACGACTAAATGATTTAGGTTTCTTCTGGACTTTCCTGCACGAGTCTACATGTTGCTTCACTCTAACACATTTCTTATTAACCAAACAGCCTGAAGACCTGACTGCTGCATGACTCGTCTCCCTCACGTGTCTCTGGAGAGACCACTTGTGAAGAACTTGACAGACTTACCATCTGACTCAGAAGACCTGCTCTCATTCCAGTCATCATCTTCATCTCCAGTTTCAGACCCAGAGTCTGACAGCTCAGAGTCCAGATTCACATCAACATCATCTCCACTAACTTCAGTCTCTGAAGAATCAGAAGTTTGTTCATGAGGGTTCAGATCTGGGTTCCTGCTAGTTCCTGCTCCTCCACCAGTTTCTGCGGTCATCTGGTCAGTTGAGCTGCTGGTTGGAACATCTTGGTCTTCTAGTTGCTGCTGATGAAGCTGTGAGACCAGAGGTTTCTCTTCATCATCCTCACTCTTTATAGAAACAGCAGTAACAGGAGACCCGACAGCTTCAGTTTCCTCCTTCAAACAGAGATGCTCTCCCTCCAGACTGGTCCAGAGCTCCTCCTGTTCCTCCTTTATGTGGAGGTGTTCTGGGTCCTGCTGGTCCACACCAGCACTCTGTTCTTCAGGATCTTCTTCTTTAACCAGCACCAGCTGTGGAACATCTGTAGGAAACACAGACACATGATGTTACAGCCCACCATACCTTTATATTTACACCACGAGTGATACTGGCTACATGATGTGGGAAAAAGGAACAAGAACATGAACTTCATTTAGATAAAAACAGATTTCTACTTTAGGAACAATAAAAACTTCCATCACAATCAGCGTGTTCGTTTCTGACCAGAACTTCTAAGCCTCCTACTCACAACCCAAGCTTTAGATCTGAAGCTGATGTGAGGAGAAACGTCTCCAAGATAAAACCAGCAACTATTCAGTCCAAAGGAAAATGAATAAACACTTAGATGTAGCTGCTGTCAGTGACAATCTTTAACTTTTAAGCTCTCAGTGGGCTAAAGCACTACAAAGCAAAGGAATCTTACAAATTAGCATTTTGGGGGATTTATTGTTGTTATTATAATATTTTATTATTATGATTACTGTAGTTGTTATTATTATATTTTATTATAATGATTATTGTAGTTGTTATTATTATATTTTATTATTATGATTATTGTAGTTTTTATTATTATATTTTATTATTATGATTATTGTAGTTGTTATTATATTTTATTATAATGATTATTGTAGTTGTTATTATATTTTATTATAATGATTATTGTAGTTGTTATTATATTTTATTATGATGATTATTGTAGTTGTTATTATATTTTATTATAATGATTATTGTAGTTGTTATTATTATATTTTATTATGATGATTATTGTAGTTGTTATTATTATATTTTATTATGATGATTATTGTAGCTGTTATTATTATATTTTATTATAATGATTATTGTAGTTGTTATTATTATATTTTATTATGATGATTATTGTAGTTGTTATTATTATATTTTATTATGATGATTATTGTAGCTGTTATTATTATATTTTATTATAATGATTATTGTAGTTGTTATTATTATATTTTATTATTATGATTATTGTAGTTGTTATTATTATATGTTATTATGATGATTATTGTAGTTGTTATTATTATATTTTATTATAATGATTATTGTAGTTGTTATTATTATATTTTATTATTATGATTATTGTAGTTGTTATTATTATATTTTATTATTATGATTATTGTAGTTGTTATTATTATATGTTATTATGATGATTATTGTAGTTGTTATTATTATATTTTATTATAATGATTATTGTAGTTGTTATTATTATATTTTATTATTATGATTATTGTAGTTGTTATTATTACATGTTATTATTATGATTATTGTAGTTGTTATTATTATATGTCCTTTAGTGGATTACTTGGTGATTGAGCAGTGGGCGGAGCCTGCTGTTCTCTACTCATTGTCTTATTTTCTAGCTTTAGTGTTCAGCGTTTTAATGGAACTCCTTGTGTGACCTCAGTCTGGGACACGTGCTGTATGAATAAACTTGGTTCTTCTTCCACCACAGAGAAAGGCTGCTCTTCCAGCATCATGAACTTCCTTATGGTCCGGTTATTAGCCGAGCCTTCTGACGCTCATACAGCCGGGTGTTGGTGAGCGTAGCTGCGTCTGACTGGGAGGTGTTTATCTCTGCAGCGATCCCTGGAAACTCACCTCACTCCACCCAGATGTTGTTCTTCACATCTTATTAAACCAGCTGTGATCAGCTTCCCCAGGAGCTGGAGCGTTTCATTGCAGGACTCAAAGCTTACATCACTCTCGCAGACAGAGTTAAAGTTAGGCGGACATGTTGTTTTACATTTTTGCTGCTGTCCTGCACAGCATGAAGGAAAAGGGGAAGAACCCCAAGTGCATCACACAGGGTTCACACAGGTGTTGCTGGTATGATCAGAACATCCCAAACTAATACCAACGTAGATACACAATAAACAACTTGAATTAAGTACTGATGAGCTATCTGCAGGGGAACAGGACCAGCTGGCATCCTCACACAAACAGGACGAACGGATGTCTTTCATAGGCCAGCCAGGCACTAATTGGTGTGTTTCCATTACTGAAACTTCTCAGTATGACCGTCTCCACTTCACCAGAGCCAGCCCAACCGGTCGTTTTCCAGACCTTTAGAGAGTCTTTGCAGGTTCTGTGGCCTCACCCAGATCACCCACGGGCAAACCGGGTTCTAACCAGAACTGGGGGACGGAGGGTTTCAAAGCATCTGTCAGCATTCATTCTGGACAGATTTACTTATTTTATGCTTCTTTGTGAGAAATGTCCTCATGTCCCCGTGTCTGTGGAGGGATCAGACATGGACACTGCTTATTATGGGATAGGAATGGCACTGACTCCTCCTCCAGCTTCCACAAGCCCGTAGTTTTATTTTGGTTCGTTCGGTCCATCATTTTCTAACTGTGTTGACAACCATGTCAGTCACGTCCAGCATGCGTGCAGCAGAGCAACCAGGAAAACGTGGAACGGATTTCAGCAGACGGAGTCATTTCTAATGCATCAAGTGGAATGGATTTCTTTGAGAACAACCAAAAGAGCAAAAGGTGTGTGTGCATCCTTTTAAAAAGTGGAGGGGGTGTTCCCTTCTGACATAATGGTTGTGACGTCTATGAACCACCTCCACTCAGTCAGCCAATTCAGTAGTTTGCTCGTAGTTTAACTCTTGATCCAAACGTTGGACCGTTTCTGCCTCTAACGATGGTTTCCGTCGTTGCTGGTTTCTCTTTTTTCGCCACAGCACCGAGATCACCACATAGAGCTCCAGTAAAATGTGTTCAGACTGTGGAGCGCACGTTTAACGAAACTTCGAATCAGTAAAAAAATGAATCGAGGATTTTAATGAATCGAACCATTTGATGATTCGTTTCAGCCCTACTTCCTTTCAACACTTTAACAACTCTTTAACTGTCATTGGCATGTTTTTACTGTGTGGGTGTCGGAACGAGCCCCGGCACCGTGAGAACAAACATCCCAGCTCTAAAGCCGATCTTCATCCGCGTGCGTCACACGTCACGTGATAAGGAAGCAGAAAGTCCATGTGTCAGATCAGGGGTGTCAAACTCAAACTCACAAGGGGCCGAAATGAAACTCTGGGACGGAGTCGAGGGTCAAACTTAATATTTTTTGAAAAAGTGACGGCAAATTTGCACATTTTCTTTATCAACATATATGCAATTTTGAACCTTTAAATTTGAAAACAAACTTATTTCTGCATTAACACTGAATGTGGAATAACCAAATTACACACGAGCAAGTCCGTTTTAAGTTAAGTTAAAGTTAAAGTCTCATTAGTTGTCACACACACAGGTGTGTGTGCGAAATTTGTTCTCCGCATTTGACCCATCCCCTGGGGGAGCGGTGAGCTGCAGACACAGCCGCGCTCGGGAACCATTTGGTGGTTTAACCCCCCAATCCAACCCCTTAATGCTGAGTGTCAAGCAGGGAGGCATTGGGTCCCATTTTTTTCAAAGTCTTTGGTATGACCCAACCAGGAATCGAACCCTGATCTCCCAGTCTCAGGGCGGACACTCTACCGCTAGGCCACTGAGAAAAGGCATCAGTGGTGTTCATTACTTGTGGTATATTCAGCATTTTTAAAATCTATTCAGGATTTATGTTTTCTTGTTTATTCATTTTCCTTATTTTTTATTCTCCTTTTTTTCTCCTGTAATACGTGTCATCGCTGCTGTGACATCTAGCTTTCCCCACTGAGGAACAATAAGGGATTTTCTATTCTATTCATCTATCTGCAGCCTTTCCACTTCCTGTTTCCTGTAGGTTAAATCTTTTCTCACGGGCCAACAACAAAATAAAATATCATTTTATCTTAAATGAAAATGCAACCTCTCACCTGTTAACTTTCATGTTTTGGAGCAGAAAAAGAGCATAAAACCAACATATTTAAAGCTCAGTTTGCTCCACTGGTTTACTGTGATGCTCACCTGTGTTAATTTTGTTGACAAAATATTTTCGTCTTTTTTTCGTCACGAAAATATATTTACAGATGAAAATGAAACAAAATTCCAAAATTAAAGCTTGGAAAAAGATGAAGACGATAATAAAATTGATTGAAACTTTTAGTCAACGAATGAAAGACGAGACGAAAATCCACGAAGACGCTCTACATGGCGCTCCATGGTGCGGTGCGCCTATTGTGTTGTTGTGAGACACGAACGTAGTAGAAGACAAGGGGCGTGGCGTGCCATGAACGTGCGGGACGTGAGCGAAGACAGACCCCGAATAGTACAAAGGGGCAGGTATGCGCGGTATGCTGAACATTGTTCAGAAGACAGGAAAGATGCATGACGCAAACAAAAGGACCAATCAACAAATTGAACAGGCGGGACTAGCCGTGGAGCTTTTCAGAGCTGATCACACCAGCTGTGATCAGCTGGTGTGATCAACTTTAACTCCTGCAGCGAAAAATGCGGCGTAGAGGAAACTTGTTAAAATACGTCAACACGGTGGATTTAATAGAAGCTTTAAAGAACAAACTCTGGACGGTGTGAGGTGAGTTTGTCTCAGACGTGTTTTGTCCTCCAAATTCGGAGCAAAGCCTAAACCAAAGTCTTCCAAGTGTAGTGTTAGACAGCAGATAAGCCAGTATAAGGAAGAGCTCTCACAGTCCATCACTTGTGAAACGGGAATGGAGTTTTGGCTTGGAAAATGTGACACATTTTATCACGGCCTGAAACCATTAGCATTAGACATATTGGCAATGCCAGCTTCTCAATCTTTTGCAGAAAGAGTGTTCAGTATCACAGGTGACCTCACTAGAGGGAAACGCAACCGAGCAAAAAGGTCACACTAGCACAAAGTGCTTTTCTCAAAATGAATCGCAGCAAATTAATATTCACACTGTTTGGCTGAGCCTGTGTTGTAACAAGTGAATATCTACAGACTCAGGGTTAACATGTTTAAATTTGCTGTTCTTGTAAATTCTTGTTGTGCAATTGCTAAAAAGAGCACCTTTGAAATTTCCAGTGTGCTTTTTGTTTTTTATTAAACACGTAAGTGTTAAACATGTGAAGTTTTTTTATTGAAATATTCTATGTTCTTAGCTGTGTGTGCTATATCTGATCAGTGGTGGTTAAGAGTTTGGACCATGTGTATTAAATTACACTCGTTTTTCTGTGCTCTATACAAAAGTAGGAAATTACTTCATTAGAAAAAAAATATGCATTTTGTTGACTAAAATTGCTTATTTTTATCGACTAAAATTATTTGTAATTTTCATCGACTAAAATGGGACTAAAACTAAAATAAATCTAATGACAAAAATTGGACTAAGACTAAAATTCATTTTTAGCCAAAAGACTAAGACTAAAATAAAATAAAAGTTTCCTGTCAAAATAAACACTGAATGCTCACCTGTTCCAGCCAGATACCTGCATCATGGGGCTGATCTGAGCTGAGGAGGAGACTCCTGTTGTTTTGTTCATCTTCATCATAATAATGACAACATTAGATGACAACAGGTGCTCACATAGGTTTGTGCTGATGAACATGTCTGAGCAGCTTGACCGCGTTGTTGTGTGTCGGGGAGGAAACACAACGACAGCCACAGAGTCGTGCTGGTTTGAGCGTGTCGCTGCTCGCTGGAGTTATATCAGCTCTGTCTGGAAGTTAGCTGGAAAACTTTCTCTTTCAGTCGTGAACACATCACTGAGCGGCTAGAATCTCCATTTCTGGGCTTCAACGTCAGAAAATAGCTGAGTAAACGCGGCGCTGAGTGAGAGGAGTGTTTCGTTTGTCAGAGACAGCGGAGCTGCAGACACCGGCAGCAGACGCTGGAAAAAACACAAAGGAGGGGGCGCTTCGGTTCTGCGCTAACGCCGCAAAGCATCATGGAAGTTGTAGTCTTTGCTGTAAAATCGGCCAGCGGGTCAGTTTTATCATATTTTTTATAATTATCTCGCGGGCCACATAAAAAGAGAGGGTGCTCACTGCAGAACTACAAAGGTGGAGCTGCACCAGAGTCAGCCCCACCCATTCACGCAAACCCAGCCTAGCCCACTGACTTCTTCTGTTTTTGTTTGTGTAATCTGACCCACATGAATTACGGCCGTTACTAGTTTAGAACTGTTAATGCTACGTTCTATGCTCCAATTAAACAAGATAAATATAACTTGCTGCATGACAAAGCCTGAATATATCCCGAAACAAAAAGGTTTCTTTTAGCAAATATCTGCCCACAGCCGCTCTAACAAAAGCGTCCTATACAGCATTTAAGGCTTATTGTTGAGCGGGCTCTGATAGTCCAGTGGCAAGATCGACTGCCTTAAGTTTTGCTTTCTCCTCTGCTGATGTTGGTTCGACTCTCGGTGGGCTCGGCAGCAATCTATTTAGCCAGCTGAAACATTTAACTTGTTTATATTTTAGTTGTAATGTTTATTTTCTGCAACATATTTATGTCTCTAAAAGTTCTTTGAATTTGGTCGTTCCTAAAGAGCATTTTAGTTGAAACTCTGCTCACAAATGGGCTCACACTGGCTAAATAAACAAATAAATAAAAAAACAAACACATTAGTCATTATATTTTAAACGGTATACCAATAAATGGTTGTAAACATAGTACTGGCAAGTGTAGCTAGAAATGAAGAAAAAAGTTAATGCCGCTGCTGGGAGGCGAACCTGCACAAAACTGCATGACAATCTGACTCCATAACCACTTCACCACTACATCTGATAACAAGCAAGTGGTGTCACATGTAATTGTGCCATCCAGTGTGTCTTTGTAGATGGGATGTATGGTTTTTCTGGCGGTGTCTCGGTAGAAGTCATTTCAGAAATAATTGTCAGAAAATTCACAGAATATCCAGATTTGAGAACCAAGAACAGAGCCGCTTCAGGGGAGGAGATCAAATTGAAGCTGAGATGGGAGGAAAATGCATGAATGAGGCCAAAAATGGCTTTGGCGTGTTTCTTATGAGGAAATGACAATATAACATGGTAAAAAGTTCCAAAATTTAGATTTTTAATTATATGGAACCTTTACAAAAACAGTTCAATTAACCTCTCAGCTCCGTCCTCAATCTTGCATTTTAGATGATATTAGCTATAACACCCTCTATGGGCGGGGCTGACTCTGGTGCAGCTCCGCCTTTGTGGTTCTGCAGCGAGCACTACTTGCATAAAAATGCTCCGTGGGCCAGATGTGGCCTGCGGGCCTTGTGTCTGACACGTGTGTGTTAGGAGATCGTTTTGGGACGCTGCTGTAAAAAAAAGTGAGACGAGAACCGGAAAAGCTTCTGCCGATCACAATTCGACAACGGACTATGAAAGAACAGATAACACTCAAAATGCACGGATTCTTCCTGTAAGAGGTGAGTCTTCGCTATGTTTTGGTAGTTTTGGCGTTGGCATCATCATAGAGCGCAATGTCCTGTGACTCTTAAAAAAACAGTAAAAGCGCTGAAAAATGCTGGCAGCGAAGGGCTTTCCTGATCAGGAAACGGCTGGCAGTGAGTGGGTTAAACGAAAAGGAAAATCTAATTTGTGTTGCTCATCCATATAAACATCCATGTTTAGACTTCTTCTGTGTTCGTAAATCAGTCAGTGAATCATACCGTAATCAGTCACATGTAGTGCTGAAACAACTAATCAATTATAATCGATTATTAAAATAGTTAACAACTTTTTTAGTCATCAATTAGTTGTTTAATAATCATATTTTACCGCATAAAGTCTATTTTTTTACCACAATCTGACATCGGTTACAATCTGTTAAATTTGCCGCCAGTGTGTGGCAGTAATGAGCCACTGATCTACCAGTGGAGCCGTAGAAGAAGAAATGAGCCAATAAGTGCCCTCGGTTTTCATGACGTATCACGTTACTGACGCTCATCTTGCTGTGAGAGATGGCGGATCAACAAGAAATACGGAAGAAAAATAGAAGCGACAAAACAAGAGAAACCCCGGACAAAAACCTCACGAGTATGGGAGCACTTCACTAGATGCCTTGAAAAGACCGGTGACCTGCAAAATATGCAAAAACCATCTAGCATGGCACGGCGGAAGCACGACGTCCCTAAGTGAACATTTGAGACGAAAACGTGGGGGCTGATGCTGCAGAGGAAAGTCCGGTAAGTAACAGAAAATAAACAAGCTAACGCAGATCACATTTGGGACTTAGCGTTAGCTGAGTTCGTTATAGTGGATGTTAAACATGTTTTTTTGCCGCGTCAGTTTACGGTGTTCTACTTCTGATTGACTAGATGCAATCGTGAATCTCCTCCGTGTTGTGTATCATGCGCTTGCCAAATTTAGCACGTCTGTTTATAAGAATGTTCTCGTTAAGAGAAAAACGGCACAAACCCATAACTGTGTTCCTCATTCAAAAAAGGACAACTCCGCGGTGAAAAATATACAGACGAGCTGTGTCCAGGTGAATATAACGCGGCATAGTTGTACGCTTTCAATTTTTAAATACAGGAGAAATTCAGAAAGTCATTTTTTTACTATTAAAAGGCTGTTTTACTATCTAACGCTGTAAAACGCCTCACAACACATTTTTGTCAAAATAAATGATCACTGTATATTGTTAATTAATTCAAATAATGTAATATTGATTTAGTGTTGTAGTGTGTGTGCTGCTTTATTTTATATGTGTACTTAATTCAGTTTATTTGTGTTTCTTATGCAGAAAAAACAAGCAACGATGGACAACTACATGGGGAACAAGACACTCACCCCCAGCAATGCATACCACTTACAAACTCTATTCTAGATTCTACATTATTTTTTTATGGAATTTACCTCTTATATTTTGATGCCAAAAAACTTATTCTGGACTGATATTTTGCACTGTTTAGCTCATTTTACACCACTGACTGTGTTCATGTGCAATAAAATAGATTGCAGTCAACTGCACAATTCTCTTATGTTTTTCTTTTTCTTAACTGAAATGTATTCATCACTTGTATAGGTTAAATAGCTAAACAATAACAAACCGATTAATCGATTAATCGAAAAAATAATCGACAGATTAATCGATTATGAAAATAATCGTTAGTTGCAGCCCTAGTCACATGCACCAACCACGGCCCATCGTCATTTACTGGACTAATGATGGGCAAATGGAAAAACAGCCCGACCTTAGTGTGGGCTACCGGAGCTGCAATACTTACTCTGAACTGTGTGGCGCTAAAGAGTCAAATGTTTTTACACACTGGGCCTTTAAGCTCTAAACCACAGCGATGTGCTGAAGCAACAGCAGTCATACGTGCTGTCAGCGCCGCTGCCGTCGTGTCTGCAGCAGGCAGTCTCCCCAACTGTGATTGGTCACATGATGATGCGTGACTGACGCTACAACAAAGGTAGGTTGTGAACACATGAAAACCTCTCCTGTCTCTGACTGATTCTCGTAGTGACTGAAACCCGACAGAAGACCAAATAGTTCCCACAGCTTCATCTCACCGCTCCCCATGGGGACGGGTCGAATGCAGCACGTAACTTCACCAGTGTGTCACGATGACTTTGGGACTTTAACTCCCCTCAAAACAAAAAATTCTTTGGATCAATACGAGTCACATGACCAATATACTCGGCTTCAAAAATCATTCATTAGAGAGATCTATTCACTCTACAACTTCAAAGTTATACAACAGTGTGTGAATGAGTGAATGACTGGTTGTGATGTAAAACGCTTTGGGGGGTTTTAGAACCCCAGTAGTGCTAAACATATACAGATCATTATTTTAAAGACTGAACCTCATTCTCATAATTTCACTGTATTGTCCCACCATAGACTGACTATATTCATCCACCAGTACCTGTGTCCATGCTGTCCAGGTGGTGAAGAACACACGATGTATCAGTCCCAGCTGATGGATGATCCTGAAGTGGTAGCAGGTTTTCTTTAGCCGTGTTTAGCTAACAGCTGCAATAGAAACAAAGCAGGAGAGCTGATTAAGATGCTGCTTCAGAACAACGCAGGAGATTAAAGATCCAACGCTTTGGTTCTGATCAGCTGAGGACACATCCAGTCTGGAAAAGAGGACCTTTGCTAACCAGAGTTCACAGAGTAGAGCTAACCGCTTTTTCCTCCAGAGTCACATTCAGATTCGGAACTTTTCCGTCGGAGAGTGTGAGCAGGATGGATCAGAGAACGAGCAGCGATCCTGCATCATGACCAACTCAGATGAGCGAGTCTGATAGAGGGAACCTCTTCAATCTGATGAAAGCAGCTAAACGAGCGCGTTTCTCAGAGAGGCCAAAGGAACAGCAGCAGATCCAGAGGGCAGGAAGTCTAGAGAAAAGCTTTTCTCACCCACAACCTGATTCTGGAGCTCCGATTGTCACGAAGACCGCAGAATATCTTCTCTGGTTCTGGAAAGAACTCCACCAAGTTGTTGAGGAGAAGAAAGTTTCCACAGCCTGGTGAGAAGATTTCTGCAGCAGCAGCAGTTAGTCGCTTTAGCTGATCGACTCTCCCAGAGACTGAAGTGAAGACATTTTTACTGCAGAGCCTCAAATATTCTCCTCACACACCAGAACAACAAGCTAGCCCTGCTAGCAGCTTCCGGTTTCTGCTTCTTCTGGTGGTCGGTGACCAGCGTAAAGGTGCACTAGCGCCACCTGCTGGAGCAGAATAAAACACATGTGTGTTCAGAATGGGACTAATAAAACACACATAACATGTGATATCTTCCTCAAACAATAGTTTTACACCTGTTATAATAATATTGTTATTAACTTTATTTTTATTTTAATCTTGTTTGTTTTTATCTAATCTGTTTTTCTTTGATGTAAAGCTAATTATGTGTCTGTTGCTGCTGCCTCTTGGCCAGATCGTTGTTGTAAATGAGAATGAGTTCTCTATCGACTCATCTGGTTAAATAAATAACATTTTAAGTTGTTTCTTCAAATGCACTGAGAAACAAGTAAAATGATTTCCCTTTTTGACGTTTCATTATCTAAATAGATTTTATTTACTTATTTTTATATTCTTTATTTAACCAGGAAGGTTCCATTGAGATTAAAGTTCTCATTTTTGAGGGAGCCCTGGCCAAGAGGCACCAAAAGATACAATCACAACATTTATGTTACAGTTATGTACAAAATTATAGAAGGCAGTTACAACCAGGGGCGTGGGACAAGAAGTAAGCCACAAGTTGCCTTATGTTAAAATCGTCACACTTTATTTTCCACATGCATTAGGAGAGATTCTGCCACCCCAGTCCCTGTGACAAATCTGAAGATTTTACAAGATGTACACCTTTTGATTCTTCCTCTCATGCTGCAAAGTTCATGTTGACCCCTCCCTAACTTTATCGAAGGCCATCACCTGTTGCCTTGGTAACTGACACCCCTCTCTGCTTTCGCTCCCTCCTCCAGATAAGATGGGAGACACAGCCCCATCTGCTTCCTACCCTATCTTCCTTTGCTAAGGCTGCGATGACCTACGCCCTGGCTTTTTCCCGTTGAACAGCTTTTAGATGGTCTAGTCTGCACCTGGCCTTCGCCTGTTGAGAATCTCCTTCAGCACAAGCTGAAACTTCTAGCAGTATCAGCCTGCATAAATCAGATATAGGTCTAACTCAGTGCTAGGCTGTACCAGTCACAGGTGAGTCATCCATTTGGTATATGCATCGTTCAGTTCAAAGGGACGTGAGTAACACCCGAACATTGAAATGATTAATATGAGGATTAACATACATGTGTGTGTGTACATATACATATATATATATATATATATATATATATATATATATATATATATATATATACACATACATATGCTGTTTGTCATACACACACATACATATGCTAGAGTTTTTCCCCATCGTTCTGATCGCAGGGTTAAAATCAGGTCATGATAAGCTTCTTTCCTTTGCTTTTATTTTTAAATAATAATAATTAACACTCAACAGCATTACCTTTCTGTTTTAATTTAACTATCATAGATATTTAAAGTGCCCCGGTAAACAATGCAATGTAATGCTTCCACTTGAGGCCAGAATGCTCTCTCACCATCCTTCTGCTCCGTGAAAACCTGAACTGGTCATCTGCTTGTGCGTAACCATATATGTCTCCAGGGAAAAACTGAAAAATCTACAGCCGTGAGGTTCACTTTGCCTCAGACAGACTTTTTGCTGTTTTATGTTCTGGCTGAATCCGCGATCCGCTGCCACAGGGACTGGAATAACAAATGCTTCTGCATCAGCATGAGTTCTGGTGAGCTCACGAAGAGGCTGCTGCAGAGCGGACTTTCATACGTTAACCCAAAATAGAAGCTAATGTTTCAATTTGATGTTGAAGGCTGTCAGTCATCCAGGTCATGGTAATCCAAAGGGTTCAAATGAAGGCAACTAGACTTCTTTGGTTCCTCGAAGAAGTTTGGCTTTTA